CAGGGCAGGGGGGGAAACAAACAGGGTGGGGGGGACAAACAGCACAGGGCAGGGGGGCTTCTAAAATCAGACCTGGTGTCAGGAGCACTGCTGACATTAATCTTAATTACACAGGGGGTAACATGGTCTGAAGCCCTGGTGTAGCCCTGGGTTAGGAGAATTAGCTGTACAGTGATAATAACAATAATAAAGCAGTTTTATGACTTTAATATTCTGTTTAACTCCTATTATACTCAGCCAGTGTTTGGAGAAGATAAGCAGCAGGGGTAGGCAGTCTGCAGCTCTTTGTCTCAGTTTGGGATATAACGCAAATTTCCTAACGTGGGAATTGTCAGGAATTAAAAGTGAACTTCGATTTTAGGATAAAATAGGCGGACAGGGAATGTAGCTTGTTTGAAGTCGACGGTTTTAGCTTTAACCCCTTAAGGACACATGACATGTGTGACATGTCATGATTCCATTTTATTCCAGAAGTTTGGTCCTTAAAGGGTTAAATTCACACATTAGTGAACAACTCCTGAATGGAAACTGGATGAGCATATGTATATATATTTATATAACAATTTCTACAGCAATAGAAAAAAATTATAAAAGTAATGGAGTAATCGCTTTGCAAGTTAAAATATTTTTCATATTTCTCTGCATGAGGACATCCAGCGTCAGATTTTTCCCCATAGGAAAGCATTGATTCATTGCTTTCCTACGGGGAGGTCTGATGTGCATTTGCCGCGCATGCGCATTACAACCCGCTCATGGAGGGGTGGAGCTTCGACCCAGCGCCAGGGACGTTTGTTCAACCCTTTATTTACCGGGAAGGCTGAGGGATCGGTAGTTCCAGGAATACCTATCGTTCCTGTAAGTTATAGTTATAGTTAAATCCCCCTCTCATAATATTGTAAAGCACTACGGAATCTATTGGCGCTATATAAATGGCAATAATAATAATACAGTTTTGTATTCCTGGCACTCAGTATCCCTTTAACAAAGCGATTCCTCCTCTTTTTTTTTTTTGTATCGCTGGAGAAATTGCACTGGATGGCACTGTATGTAGTGTTGCCGAGCCGCAGACCGTAATAAAGGGGCGTCTGTATACCCTTCCTGGTCTGACAAAGAGACACACAGAGGGGCTGGGGGTAGCAAAGAGACATATAGATGCTGGGGGGAATGGGTGGGCAAAGAGACACACAGAGGGGCTGAGAGGAGAAGAGAGACACAGTTGATTTTGCCTAGGGTGCAAAATAGTCTTGCACCAGCCCTGGATGTGTGCCATCCATCTTGGACTAAGGCACACAAGGTAATAAGAAGGGTTAAGAGGCACACAAGGGTTAATGGGATGTTAAGGGACACACAGTAGGGTAAGGAGCTACACAAAAGGGGTGCAGGGAGACATAAAGTCATTGGAGTGACACATGAAAACTATATTACAATCCTGGATGAGTAGGGCAATATAACATCTGCCCAGCATGCCAAATAGCCTAGATACAGCTCTGGGGACGTCCCTCATTTTGTCCTTCTACTGACTAGACATAAATGTCCCTGGCATCTCTGGGGAAGGGGGTGAAGCATGTATCTTGGTGCTTTCCTCTATATCCGCCACTGAAAGAAATGTTATGTTTTTATTATTATTACATATTCATGTTGTTTTACCTGTGCAAAACGTCTTTGGCAATCTTAACCTAACCTTAACTTAAGCGGATTCTGGGCCGTTCCACGTAGATGTATGTGTCAGACTGGGAGGGTATCTACGGGTATGTAAGGAGTAGAGTAAGTGTGTGCAATAAGTGGAAGGCTTGGCGCGTTCAAGGAAGAGAAGGAAGTGCCACCAGTGTGTGCATGAGAAAATGTATTTCCATGTGTGAGATAGACAATCTCTGCTTACGTGTATCCACACTAGAATTGTGCAATTCGTTTCGGTCAGAATTTAAATTCGGACGAATTTCTGTAATTCGGACATTCGGATGCATCCGAATACCTGAAGTGACGAATTTCAGTGCTGAATTTCAGAAGTGCCGAACCGAACCAAATTTTTTGCCCATGCACATCCCTAATCCACACCTCCCTATTTTAGACCCAAATCTTTCTGTCCCTTTTTTTCCTATTTTAATGTCCCTCTTTTCTAGGAGCTCAACATTGGTGTTCATAACCGAGCTCCACAGCAATAGTACTCACAGTAATGTGTCTTTAAACAATAATAAATGTGTTTAGAAATCAATCTGTGTAAATAAGATAAAAAAAATTTTTTTCCAATTACATTTACATCCATAACACCAAAGATACCCCTCTTTGTCCATTTGAAATGGTGGGAGGTATGTGCACATGTGTCTATGTATTGGGTTTTGCGTCTGATTCTGGAGTTCAGTTCATTGTTATTTATGCTTTTACTGTTACATAACACACTATTTACTGTTAAAATGAGGAGAGCAAGACCGGGGGGATTTTCTGCAGCACCACAAATTTTGCTAAGTTGCCCTTTTTATGTCTTTGAAAAGTTTTTTTTTGCTATTAGATTGTCTTTCTACGTAGGTTATTTCCAGAAATCACACACCCCTATGGTTACCCAGCTGGTGCTAAGCTAGAACAGGTTTTGAACTATTGCTATCCATTTTCTATGGCTTTTGAACCAAAACATGGCAGAACTTTGCTGTTTGCTCTTAAAAGTCTAATCAGTGGGCCAGTACATTGGCATACATCAGCCAAAGTCGAAGAATGGTTATCACTAACCAACATCTTGCAAAACCTTGGCTATCAACTCGTCTTGCGGGAAAGGGAGCAGAGTAGTTAAAATTACTTAGATCTCTATTGTACATCTTCCTTACATAATGTCACAAAGAATTAAAATTTCCTTCCAGTAAATTAAAAGGGAAATAAAACTTATTACATTGTTTCAGTAGGAGTATTATTATTAACACTGACATACAATTTAATGGCCTACTAATATAGTAACAATTTTGTAGCAGCCCAAGCGTAAAACCACAAGTTCCTGTGTGGGTTTTCCAGAGTAAATGGGATGTTCCGAGAAAGAATTATGACATGATTTAATCTACAATGGTCACGGTGCTCAAAAAAGCTGTACACTTGAAATTCTAATTCTGATATGGTCTGAATAGCTAAAATAGGTAAAATCGAGTTACGTTAATGCCGTCTGTGATGTGCTCATTTTTATGCTGGGATCTATCCAATACTGCTCAGTGCTTTGAACTTTCAAAGGGACCGTCTTGTAAACACTCCGTGCTTTGGAACATCTGTCCAGAAATGTTTGCAGTGTGAGGTGTTAGGAGTTTAGAACAGATACTACATTTGATCTTCAACAAATGGCTTGTTCACAAATCCTGTTCGTGGGCGAGCCATTTGGTTGGCTATTAAAACCGCCCATCCCATGTGTTCCTTATAAGGGGTCAATTAGTATGTAGGGGTAAATATTAAAAAAGAAATACCCCTTTCTGTCTCATTAGTGATATCTTTGCCAGATGCTCAAGGAAGCAAGGAGAAAGGTTAGTGTAGGACCCACCTGAGAGGTTTGCCTTGACGTGGCAGGTGGGCTAAAGTCTCTCATGGCCATTGGAGAAACTAAATAACCACCATTTGTTTAAATATGCCTAGGGATTTGGGAAGAGCGCAGGTAACTTTTTTTCTTTGGTTATTTCTGATTGTAACCCTGCTCTATTCACAGGGGAAGAAGAAGTCTACATCTTGATTTACTTTGGCTCACATCGTAAGCCGGTGTCCGGGTTGATTGTCTTGTCAACCTATTGACGCACTCAGGAAGAGGGAAGAGCCGATCCTCTGCACTGTGTTGCTCCTGCCTGTGGACCAGCTGGGGGTAAATCCCAAGCCCCACTGGATGACTGTCCTGATCTCCGCAGAGAGTAACTCAGACGACTAGAAGCACACAGGCTGGGGCCTACTTACTAAGATGGCCATTGCTCAGAGGTGATCACCAACACATGCCCATGCAACAAGGTTATCCGCACAGTGTTTTTACCCTTTGCCGGTTTACATCCATGGTAGTTCCTCGGCATGTGCAAGCTGCTGATGTCTGGGGGGAGATCCCGGAATCCTGCTCTGGTCGCTGAATTCGGCTGGTACTGTGAGAAATGTGTATTGGATCGGAGTGGAATTTGGGACTGGTGGGGAGACCTGCTGGGGATTATGTGACTCATACCCTGGTGCTGTAGTGAATCTTGCCTGGTTGGCAATGGTTGAGCTCCTATCCCAGCGTTGACTAAAGGGCCTGCATCACATATTTATTTGCTTTTACATGTATAGTTCCTGTTAAATTTTAAACCAGTACACAGGTCATGACAACATTGTGGTCTTCTCGTTTTTATTATTTTAAAAATTGTGAAGTCTATTATATGCCTGATATTTAAAGGATACATTTCTGTATACGGATTGTCATGATGTGTCTTTGCACGTACATTTCAAGCAAAAGCCATGCCTGATTTATGATACCAGGAGGTCCCTATAACAGGTTTCCTGCACTTGGTTGCCTATAACAGCAGCAGTCTGCAGAAACCACATATATTGAAACCTAGTCCCTAACACAGAGACTTAGAAACATAGCATGTGACGGCAGATATGAACCGTTCGGCCCATCTAGTCTGCCCAATTTTCTAAATACTCTCATTAGTCCCTGGCCTGATCTTATAGCTAAGAGAGCCTTATGCATATCCCATGCATGCTTAAACTCCCTCACTGTGTTAAAGTCTACCACTTCAGCTGGAAGGCTATTCCATGCATCCACTACCCTCTCAGTAAAGTAATACTTCCTGATATTATTTTTAAACCTTTGTCCCTCTAATTTAAGACTATGTCCTCTTGTTGTGGTAATTTTTCTTCTTTTAAATATAGTCTCCTCCTTTACTGTGTTGATTCCCTTTATATATTTAAATGTTTCTATCATATCCCCCCTGTCTCGTCTTTCCTCCAAGCTATACATGTTAAGATCCTTTAACCTTTCCTGGTAAGTTTTATCCTGCAATCCATGAACCAGTTTTGTAGCCCTTCTCTGAACTCTCTCCAAAGTATCATGCCAACCCCAAGCCTTAAACAATCCAAGAACTTCATAAAAATACAAATCTGCTATTCCTTGTGTGTCAAAATCCTTGGACAGCATATGGCTGCTGGCTTGACACACATTGCACAAGTACTAACCTCCTTTTATAGGCTTCTCTGCAGCTTTTTTTTTTAATAAGAGATCCAGAGCTGTGGCTGTCTACAGTATATGCAAAGTTGTGCGAAAACCTCCATTCACAGTTGGAGCTATCAGAAAGCTTATATCACCTTGGGCACACGTTCCATTCAAATTTCCCGTTGAATGTAACTACATTCAGTTGTTAGACTCAGAAAACCTTCTCAACAGAGGATTATGGGATATGAGCTAAAACGTAAAAGGATTGACTTCCTGTTACTTTCTTACCTGTGCAGTGCTCACCGCAAGAAGCTGTAAAATTCTGGGGATTGAATTTTTTTTTTTTTAAAACATTGAACTCCAGTTAACTAAAAAAGTATGGCAACAACATACTTGTTGAGTCTCCCTTCCAAACTTGGTAGATGGGTTTTAAAAGGTTTGTGTTTTAAATTGTTTACTTATATTATGTATTAGGGGGAAAATGGTTAAGTTCTAGCCTGGAAGTCCATTTAATGTATGTAGTGTTGCCGAGCCGCAGACCGTAATAAAGGGGCGTCTGTATACCCTTCCTGGTCTGACAAAGAGACACACAGAGGGGCTGGGGGTAGCAAAGAGACATATAGATGCTGGGGGGAATGGGTGGGCAAAGAGACACACAGAGGGGCTGAGAGGAGAAGAGAGACACAGTTGATTTTGCCTAGGGTGCAAAATAGTCTTGCACCAGCCCTGGATGTGTGCCATCCATCTTGGACTAAGGCACACAAGGTAATAAGAAGGGTTAAGAGGCACACAAGGGTTAATGGGATGTTAAGGGACACACAGTAGGGTAAGGAGCTACACAAAAGGGGTGCAGGGAGACATAAAGTCATTGGAGTGACACATGAAAACTATATTACAATCCTGGATGAGTAGGGCAATATAACATCTGCCCAGCATGCCAAATAGCCTAGATACAGCTCTGGGGACGTCCCTCATTTTGTCCTTCTACTGACTAGACATAAATGTCCCTGGCATCTCTGGGGAAGGGGGTGAAGCATGTATCTTGGTGCTTTCCTCTATATCCGCCACTGAAAGAAATGTTATGTTTTTATTATTATTACATATTCATGTTGTTTTACCTGTGCAAAACGTCTTTGGCAATCTTAACCTAACCTTAACTTAAGCGGATTCTGGGCCGTTCCACGTAGATGTATGTGTCAGACTGGGAGGGTATCTATGGGTATGTAAGGAGTAGAGTAAGTGTGTGCAATAAGTGGAAGGCTTGGCGCGTTCAAGGAAGAGAAGGAAGTGCCACCAGTGTGTGCATGAGAAAATGTATTTCCATGTGTGAGATAGACAATCTCTGCTTACGTGTATCCACACTAGAATTGTGCAATTCGTATCGGTCAGAATTTAAATTCGGACGAATTTCTGTAATTCGGACATTCGGATGCATCCGAATACCTGAAGTGACGAATTTCAGTGCTGAATTTCAGAAGTGCCGAACCGAACCAAATTTTTTGCCCATGCACATCCCTAATCCACACCTCCCTATTTTAGACCCAAATCTTTCTGTCCCTTTTTTTCCTATTTTAATGTCCCTCTTTTCTAGGAGCTCAACATTGGTGTTCATAACCGAGCTCCACAGCAATAGTACTCACAGTAATGTGTCTTTAAACAATAATAAATGTGTTTAGAAATCAATCTGTGTAAATAAGATAAAAAAAATTTTTTTCCAATTACATTTACATCCATAACACCAAAGATACCCCTCTTTGTCCATTTGAAATGGTGGGAGGTATGTGCACATGTGTCTATGTATTGGGTTTTGCGTCTGATTCTGGAGTTCAGTTCATTGTTATTTATGCTTTTACTGTTACATAACACACTATTTACTGTTAAAATGAGGAGAGCAAGACCGGGGGGATTTTCTGCAGCACCACAAATTTTGCTAAGTTGCCCTTTTTATGTCTTTGAAAAGTTTTTTTTTGCTATTAGATTGTCTTTCTACGTAGGTTATTTCCAGAAATCACACACCCCTATGGTTACCCAGCTGGTGCTAAGCTAGAACAGGTTTTGAACTATTGCTATCCATTTTCTATGGCTTTTGAACCAAAACATGGCAGAACTTTGCTGTTTGCTCTTAAAAGTCTAATCAGTGGGCCAGTACATTGGCATACATCAGCCAAAGTCGAAGAATGGTTATCACTAACCAACATCTTGCAAAACCTTGGCTATCAACTCGTCTTGCGGGAAAGGGAGCAGAGTAGTTAAAATTACTTAGATCTCTATTGTACATCTTCCTTACATAATGTCACAAAGAATTAAAATTTCCTTCCAGTAAATTAAAAGGGAAATAAAACTTATTACATTGTTTCAGTAGGAGTATTATTATTAACACTGACATACAATTTAATGGCCTACTAATATAGTAACAATTTTGTAGCAGCCCAAGCGTAAAACCACAAGTTCCTGTGTGGGTTTTCCAGAGTAAATGGGATGTTCCGAGAAAGAATTATGACATGATTTAATCTACAATGGTCACGGTGCTCAAAAAAGCTGTACACTTGAAATTCTAATTCTGATATGGTCTGAATAGCTAAAATAGGTAAAATCGAGTTACGTTAATGCCGTCTGTGATGTGCTCATTTTTATGCTGGGATCTATCCAATACTGCTCAGTGCTTTGAACTTTCAAAGGGACCGTCTTGTAAACACTCCGTGCTTTGGAACATCTGTCCAGAAATGTTTGCAGTGTGAGGTGTTAGGAGTTTAGAACAGATACTACATTTGATCTTCAACAAATGGCTTGTTCACAAATCCTGTTCGTGGGCGAGCCATTTGGTTGGCTATTAAAACCGCCCATCCCATGTGTTCCTTATAAGGGGTCAATTAGTATGTAGGGGTAAATATTAAAAAAGAAATACCCCTTTCTGTCTCATTAGTGATATCTTTGCCAGATGCTCAAGGAAGCAAGGAGAAAGGTTAGTGTAGGACCCACCTGAGAGGTTTGCCTTGACGTGGCAGGTGGGCTAAAGTCTCTCATGGCCATTGGAGAAACTAAATAACCACCATTTGTTTAAATATGCCTAGGGATTTGGGAAGAGCGCAGGTAACTTTTTTTCTTTGGTTATTTCTGATTGTAACCCTGCTCTATTCACAGGGGAAGAAGAAGTCTACATCTTGATTTACTTTGGCTCACATCGTAAGCCGGTGTCCGGGTTGATTGTCTTGTCAACCTATTGACGCACTCAGGAAGAGGGAAGAGCCGATCCTCTGCACTGTGTTGCTCCTGCCTGTGGACCAGCTGGGGGTAAATCCCAAGCCCCACTGGTTGACTGTCCTGATCTCCGCAGAGAGTAACTCAGACGACTAGAAGCACACAGGCTGGGGCCTACTTACTAAGATGGCCATTGCTCAGAGGTGATCACCAACACATGCCCATACAACAAGGTTATCCGCACAGTGTTTTTACCCTTTGCCGGTTTACATCCATGGTAGTTCCTCGGCATGTGCAAGCTGCTGATGTCTGGGGGGAGATCCCGGAATCCTGCTCTGGTCGCTGAATTCGGCTGGTACTGTGAGAAATGTGTATTGGATCGGAGTGGAATTTGGGACTGGTGGGGAGACCTGCTGGGGATTATGTGACTCATACCCTGGTGCTGTAGTGAATCTTGCCTGGTTGGCAATGGTTGAGCTCCTATCCCAGCGTTGACTAAAGGGCCTGCATCACATATTTATTTGCTTTTACATGTATAGTTCCTGTTAAATTTTAAACCAGTACACAGGTCATGACAACATTGTGGTCTTCTCGTTTTTATTATTTTAAAAATTGTGAAGTCTATTATATGCCTGATATTTAAAGGATACATTTCTGTATACGGATTGTCATGATGTGTCTTTGCACGTACATTTCAAGCAAAAGCCATGCCTGATTTATGATACCAGGAGGTCCCTATAACAGGTTTCCTGCACTTGGTTGCCTATAACAGCAGCAGTCTGCAGAAACCACATATATTGAAACCTAGTCCCTAACACAGAGACTTAGAAACATAGCATGTGACGGCAGATATGAACCGTTCGGCCCATCTAGTCTGCCCAATTTTCTAAATACTCTCATTAGTCCCTGGCCTGATCTTATAGCTAAGAGAGCCTTATGCATATCCCATGCATGCTTAAACTCCCTCACTGTGTTAAAGTCTACCACTTCAGCTGGAAGGCTATTCCATGCATCCACTACCCTCTCAGTAAAGTAATACTTCCTGATATTATTTTTAAACCTTTGTCCCTCTAATTTAAGACTATGTCCTCTTGTTGTGGTAATTTTTCTTCTTTTAAATATAGTCTCCTCCTTTACTGTGTTGATTCCCTTTATGTATTTAAATGTTTCTATCATATCCCCCCGTCTCGTCTTTCCTCCAAGCTATACATGTTAAGTTTCTTTAACCTTTCCTGGTAAGTTTTATCCTGCAATCCATGAACCAGTTTTGTAGCCCTTCTCTGAACTCTCTCCAAAGTATCATGCCAACCCCAAGCCTTAAACAATCCAAGAACTTCATAAAAATACAAATCTGCTATTCCTTGTGTGTCAAAATCCTTGGACAGCATATGGCTGCTGGCTTGACACACATTGCACAAGTACTAACCTCCTTTTATAGGCTTCTCTGCAGCTTTTTTTTTTAATAAGAGATCCAGAGCTGTGGCTGTCTACAGTATATGCAAAGTTGTGCGAAAACCTCCATTCACAGTTGGAGCTATCAGAAAGCTTATATCACCTTGGGCACACGTTCCATTCAAATTTCCCGTTGAATGTAACTACATTCAGTTGTTAGACTCAGAAAACCTTCTCAACAGAGGATTATGGGATATGAGCTAAAACGTAAAAGGATTGACTTTCTGTTACTTTCTTACCTGTGCAGTGCTCACCGCAAGAAGCTGTAAAATTCTGGGGATTTAATTTTTTTTTTTTAAAACATTGAACTCCAGTTAACTAAAAAAGAATGGCAACAACATACTTGTTGAGTCTCCCTTCCAAACTTGGTAGATGGGTTTTAAAAGGTTTGTGTTTTAAATTGTTTACTTATATTATGTATTAGGGGGAAAATGGTTAAGTTCTAGCCTGGAAGTCCATTTAATGCATTTAGTAAAATGTTAATTGGAATATTATTTTAATATTTCTGTTTTTCATTTCTATTTAAAACAACTACCATAACAACCTGCAAAAATACCTACCTGCCATTGCAAATATATAAACTTCTAAAAAGGCTGGGGAAATGCTGCCACCTACTGGCTGATGATTATACAGCAAACTGTAGTTTAATTGTTCTGATCTATTTTGCTTCTGATTAAACTGGTAAAACCTTGGGACTGGTAAAACCATTAAAAATCCGGGAAAGGGGGGGCGGGGCCGGGCGGCCATGCCGACAGGCTGCAGGTCACTGGAGCTCCTGCAGAATCAAGCTAATTTTGGGGAAAATACCCACCTTATGCTGCATGAGAGCTCTGGTGGTTCGGGGAACGGAGTCCAGGATAGTCCCGGTGTAGCTGGAGCACCTGTTACCGGGTGACTCTAGGTCCTGGAGAGACATTTTGGGGCTTGAGACCAGAGGCCTACCCAGGAGGAGAGCGGGGCGGACGGCCGCTGCCTCGCATTCCAATCTGGCTACCATGATATGGCTGGCGTCCTCCCGGTCTCGTTCACCCCCCCTCTGGGCCAGCGGGGGTTATCCCGGCCCCCACCAGGCAAGATGTAATCAACACACAACTACAGGGCGACTAAACATCGAAGGTAAACGGCTCCCACGAGGCCTCCTTAAAATGGCCGACGGCGGCTTAACAACTCCACCGCTCCTAAACATGGAGAACCCCCCTATGGCGCACGGAAGCAGACTGCTCCGAGACAATACGCCTAACCAGCGCTCCCTATCACCGGGACCAGAGACCAACCAGGGGGGTACACCCAGAGAAGGCATACCCAAGCATTGAACCTAATATAATGCAGCCCACACCTGAACACAGCGGGTTAAGCGGCACCGCGTTTACACCCACCAGACGACCGGGAGACCTGGCAATCCGCCACCACGGTGCCCTCTGGCAAGACTTTGGGACTTAGAGGACCTTCTTATAGGGACTATCCCCAAGCATGGGAAAAAACTGCCTTTTAACATCTCCAACATCCCACGATGACTGGCACCTAAGGCACACTCCACGGAACCTTCCGACAGCCTCAAAAGCGGTTACTGCAGCTGCATTCTATAATTAAACATACTGCAATGTCATTCATGTTATAATCACCGTTCTAAGAAATGCCAGTTAGTTTTTTATGCCTAATGCTGACGATGACATAGTCTGCCCTGCTTTGCCTGGTGGTATATTACTTTACTTTTACACTTAATTTGGTTAAGCTTGGTACTTTATTATTTTCTAACATGTCAGTAAGTCAATCTGTATTTAAGCCTGTACTCATAACCTTACCTGACACACAAGACTAAAGCTCATAAAAGCGTAACTTAGCATACAAACTACAATTTAACTTTTAAAAATGTGCCAATATCTCCATGTCACTAATGTACAAACGCTGTGTTTACATCTCCTAACTCCGCCATTGTGACATAGTCAAACGTTCTGTAAATCTCAAGCAACGCTCACCCACTGTTTATATTTTCTCTTGCAAAACGAAAAATGTGCTGTATACTCATATACCACGTCAGTGGCGTACACATGACCCATGGGGCCCCGGTGCGAAAATTGATCCATGCCCCCCCCCCCGTGTGCGGGCCAGGCCGCAACACATGGCGGTGGACACCTGGTCGCAGGGGTTACAGGGCTGCGACCCCTGCGACCGCGGTATGTACGCCAGTGCATGCAGATGCACACACACTTAAAGGACCACTCTAGGCACCCAGACCACTTCAACTTAATGAAGTGGTCTGGGTGCCAGGTCCAGCTAGGGTTAACCCATTTTTTCATAAACATAGCAGTTTCAGAGAAACTGCTATGTTTATGAATGGGTTAAGCCTTCCCCTATTTCCTCTAGCGGCTGTCTCATTGGCAGCCGCTAGAGGTGCTTGCGTGCTTCTCACTGTGATTTTCACAGTGAGAGCACGCCAGCGTCCATAGGAAAGCATTATGAATGCTTTCCTATGTGACTTTGACTGAATACGCAGCAGCCGGCCGTGGGAGGGGAGGAAAGAGGAGGATCGGAGGAGGAGAGCTCATGGCCCGCTGGAAAAAGGTAAGTTTTACCCCTTTTCCCCTTTCCAGAGCTGGGCGGGAGGGGTCCCGGAAGTGGGCAGGGGCGCGTCTTTAACGCGGGGCAAACGGGGCAGCTGCCCCGGGCCCAGTTTCTCTTGGGGGGCCCGAGGCACCTGCCCCGTGGGCCCCGCTGACCCGGCGGGCGTGGCGGTCGGGCAGGAAGGCGGGCGCGCGAGGGAGCACTCAGTGCTTCCTCTTCAGCTCCCTCGCGCACCGCACTGATGCCGGAGCCGGAAGATGACGTCATCTTCCGGCGCCGGCATCCCTACGCGGCGCGCGAGGGAGCTGAAGAGGAAGCAGTGAGTGCTCCCTCGCGCGCGCGCCTTCCTGTCCGACCGGCCACCCGCCCAGGAGCCCAACAGCACCACTGGACCCCAGGGAATCCCCCCAGCACTCCAAAAGGTAAGGAGGCTGGGGGGATTACATTTAAAAAAAAAAAATGTGTGTTTGTGTGTATGTGTGTGTTAGTGTATGTTTTTGTGTATGTATGTGTTAGTGTGTGTGTGTTTGTGTGTTAGTGTATGTGTTTGTGTGTGTTTGTTTGTGTGTGTATGTGTGTGTTAGTGTTTGTGTGTGTTAGTGTATGTGTGTGTGTGTCAGTATGTCTGTCTGTCTGTGTGTCAGTATATATGTGTGTGTATATCTGTGTGTGTCAGTATGTGTATGTGTCAGTATGTCTGTCAGTGCGTCAGTATGTCTGTTAGTGCATGTGTATGCATGTGTCAGTATATCTGTCTGTGTGCCAGTATGTCTGTTGTGTGTTTGTGTGTATGTGTGTGTTAGTGTATGTGTGTGTTAGTGTATGTATGTGTGTTTGTGTGTGTTAGTGTATGTGTGTTAGTGTGTGTTAGTGTATGTGTTTGTGTGTTAGTGTATGTGTGTTAGTGTATGTATGTGTGTGTTTATGTGTGTTAGTGTGTGTGTTTGTGTGTTAGTGTATGTGTGTTAGTGTGTGTGTTTGTGTATGTGTGAGTGTGTGTGTATGTATGTTAGTGTATGTGTGTGTTAGTGTGTGTGTTTGTGTGTTAGTGTGTATGTGTGTGTTAGTGTGTATGTGTGTTAGTGTGTGTGTGTGTTAGTGTATGTGTGTGGGTGTCAGTATGTCTGTCTGTCTGTGTGTCAGTATATATGTGTGTGTATATCTGTGTGTGTCAGTATGTGTATGTGTCAGTATGTCTGTCAGTCGTCAGTATGTCTGTTAGTGCATGTGTATGCATGTGTCAGTATATCTGTCTGTGTGCCAGTATGTCTGTGTGTGTGTGTCAGTATATCAGTCTGTGTGTGTCAGTGTATGTGCCTGTGTGTGTGTGTCAGTATTTCTCAGTGTATGTGGGTGTCAGTATATCTGTCAGTGTGTGGATGTCAGTATTTCTGTCAGTGTATGTGTGTCAGTATGTTGATCAGTGTATGTGTCTGTGTGTGTGTGTCAGTATGTCGGTATATGTGTCTGTGTGTCAGTATGTCTGTATATGTGCCTGTGTCAGTATGTCTGTCAGTACGTCTACCAGTGTATGTGTCTGTGTGTGTGTCAATATATGTACCTGTGTCAGTGTGTCTGTCAGTGTATGTGCCTGTTTATCTGTATGTAGTCAGTGTATGTATCTGTGTATCTGCTTGTGCGTCAGAGTGTGTACCTGTGCATCTGAGCCGCAACTTTAAATACAAATACACCCCTCCATTCAAACTTCAACACTACATATAAAACACACTCCTGCATTGAAACGTCAACACTACATACAAGCACACTCCTACATTCAAAAACAAACACTACACATAAATGCACACTTGCATTCAAACTCCAGTACCACATACAAACACATTCACACAAACATACTCCATACAAACACATGCTTACATTCAAACATACTAACATGGCTCAGTGCTAAATACAACCCTGCAAGCATGGGAAATTGGTAGAGTCCCAGCTGTCAAAGCATTGTTGGAGTTGCACGACAGATGGGGTTCTACCTTTAGTCCAACCTTGCAATTGGGGTCCCAATAAAATTCATTCTACTTTAGTACCGCCACTGCGTTGGGATGGATGCCGTGATTGCATACCAGGGAGTGAGGGGCGAGAGCGGCAGGGCACAGGGGGCCCAAGCAAACACTTGCCCAGGGTCCATTCGTTATTAAAGACGGCCCTGAGGGTGGGGGCACCCTTAGGGCACTATAGTGCCAGGAAAACGAGTATGTTTTGCTGGCACTATAGTGGTCCTTTAAAGGACCACTACAGACACCCAGATCACATCAGCTCAATGAAGTTGTCTGGGTGTCAGGTCCCTCTAGTTTTAACCCTGCAGCTGAAAACATAGCAGTTTCAGAGAAACTGCTATGTTTCACTGAGGGTTAATCCAGCCTCTAGTGGCTGTCTCACTGACAGCCGCTAGAGGAGCACACTGAACGTCCATAGGAAAGCATTGAGTAATGCTTTCCTATGGGCGGTTTGAATGCGTGCGCGGTCGCATTCGGAGCTGAGAGGCTGAGGGATCCTCAGCGCCAAGGGAGTCCGGCGCTGGAGAAAGGTAAGTGCTGAAGACACACACACACACACACACTTACAGACGCATACACACTAGCTAAGAGACACACACATTTACTGACAGAGACACAGTCAGCGGCAGACATACATACACACTCACAAAACATACACTCTCATTGACAAACACACACTCACTAACAGACATCAAACAGACTCACTAACACACACACACTCAGTAAGACACACACAGTAACACACTCACTGACACTCACTAGCAGACACACACACTAACACTCACTCTAACACTCACACTAACACTCACACACTAACACATGTTTTTTTTTGTTTTTTTTTTAAATGTAATCCCCCCAGCCTCCTTACCTTTTGGAGTGCTGGTGGGATTCCCTGGGGTCCAGTGGTCCTGCTGGGCTCCTGGGCGGGTGGCCGGTCGGGCAGGCGGGTGCGCGAGGGAGCATGACGTCATCTTCCGGCTCCGGTATCAGTGCGGTGCGCGAGGGAGCTGAAGAGGAAGCCCTGCCGGGTGTCAGCAGGGCCAGCCTCGGGGGGCCCTGGGGTGGTCGGCTCCTGGGCCCCCCAGGGGAAGAGGTTGGCCCTGTGGGTACATACCGGGTCGCAGGGGCGGCCAGGCCCCCTGGTGGGCCGGGCCCGGTCGCAGCCGCGACCCCTGCGACCCTGGTATGTACGCCACTGTACCACGTTATGTTTCAACTGTCCATCACATTACTGCTTGTGACTGCTATTGTGGCTGAACAAGCCTATTGTTATACCATGCACATCAAAAATAAAGAATTTTAAAAAAAATAAAAAAAATCCGGGAAAGTGACAGATCCACTTAAACGTTATCCCAAGTTAAACCTTTGTAGAAGGACACCTACATTCTCTTCAGGAGAACCACAATCTGAAAAATTCCAAAGAGAAACGCTACACGTCTTAAACCCTGATAATGCCCTGCACTGATCTATAGTATTATAGTAAATATTATTTATAAAATGCTAACAAATTCTGCAGCGCTGTACAATGGGTGGACTAACAGACAAGTATTTGTAACCAGACGGTTTAGATGCACAGGAATAGAGAGGTTGAGGCCCTAAACAATGAGCTTACATGCTATAGTGAGTGGGGTATAGTGACACAAAATGTAAGGTTAAGGTAGAAAAGTAGGTTGATAGAATAGTATTCACAGAAGACTTAGTGGGGGTTTTTTGTTTTTTTTAATGACAGTTGCAGAAGAGGAATCAGGATGCAGGGTGGGGGAGAAACGCTATTAACAGTTCAATTGATATGCTTTCTTATATCACCTGACTGTCACGGTGCCGCAGGTTTCTGTCGGCATTTAATAGGGAAATAGCCTTTGCCCTTAACACAGATGGAGCTTACGTGCGTGCAACGTCACTTCATAGACGTGCACGCACGTTTTGGGGTCAGAGGCCATATACAGCCAATTACAGCTTTAGGAGGTTTTTTTTTTTTAACCAAAATAACCTTTTGATCAGTGCCCTGTCGTGGTTTCCCTTAGATGGTTATCCGAGAGTGTGTTCCTGATCGTGTATTTCTGGTTTTTGACTTTGGCTTAGTTTTGACTTCCCTGACTTCTGGTATCCTTGACTACTGGCTTTTCCTAATCGCTGTGTCTCGTTCTGTGTCCCTGACCTCGGCTAGTATATTTACTATTCTCGGGTACGTGAAGTCCGGCCATTCTAAGGTCCGGTTATACGTTACCCTTAGTCCTAGGTGTGATGCAATTCTGTGTGATGGATCAACTAATCCTGACACTGACAAACTGAGTCAAAAAAATCAATATGGGCCCGATCTGGGGTAGGAAGGGGAAGCTTTGTTTATTTGTCTTATGGAAGTGCTTTCTAGAGAAAAGAGCAGAACCTATGAAAAAACAAAAAAAACAAAACAAAAGAAAATGTAAAGGGAAATCAAAAAGTACAAGCAAATGCTACTCACAAAAGGAAATATAAACAGGCAAATATCACATTACGTAACCAGTAAAGGCAGCTATGCACATACCATGGCCAATGCTAGATCTGTATATGTTCGTAACTTGAGCTGCTTATGAAAAACACATGTTACAGTGTTGCACCAAACCCATTGTAGCCTCTGCAAAGCACATTTATTATGTGTCCCAAGATTATTTGGCCTGTCTAATTTGTGTCTTGCTTGGTTCTTATCGTACTCACCTCATTCTTCCTTCATACGCACCCTCAGAAAGTTAAATATTCATATTTAGCAATCTGTTTTATCTTTATGTTATTAAAATGATCTTTAATTCGAGAAAAGGGGAAAAACCACTAAAATGCTTGAATCTTAAATCTATAGAACAATTTTTTGATGGTTTGTATCTCTAAGGATGAAGCATTAAAAAACTCCCTAACTGTGTTAACCTCTACTACTTCAGCTAGAAGGCTATTCCATGCATCCACTACCCTCTCAGTAAAGTAATACTTCCTGAAATTATTTTTAAACCTTTGTCCCTCTAATTTAAGACTATGTCCTCTTGTTGTGGTAGTTTTTCTTCTTTTATATATAGTCTCTTCCTTTAAGGTGTTGATTCCCTTTATGTATTTAAATGTTTCTATCATATCCCCCGTCATGTCTTTCCTCCAAGCTATATGTGATAGAAATACAAGTATTCCTAGAAGCTCATATGAATCACACAGCACTTCCTCTTTAAAAGCCAGTCAATAAAAGTTCCGTAATCGAAAACTGTCAAGTCGAGCTTAATTCATATGATTCCAAGAAAGAGGAACTATGCAAATAATTAAACAAACAAACAAACCATGTTGGGGTCATGACACTGGTACATAAGATTTTCAACTCCTATATCAAAACGTAGAGTCTCTGCTTTTAATTCTGGAAGAATTACTGTTTAACCTTAAGAGGAAGATTCCCTGCCAAGTTTTTTACTGCTCCTTTGTCTCAATCTTGTTTGCTTTTTGTCTTTTACATATTATTCATTTTATTTCTTATGATGAATTCATTGTATCTTGGATACCACTAATGGTGTATGTCTAAATTTTCTGTTATACTATTGGGTTGCAGTCCTGATATCCTGAATATAACACATATTGTCTGATCATAAATAAAGAATTATTATATAAAGAAAGACCTTGCTGGGCCCACTTAAAGTGGCAATGTCACTCTCATGTTATACAAATATATTTGGGGGCCAGTACAAATCATTGTTTGGAAATCTATTTATTAATAGGGCTATACATAGGACACAAGGTCGCACACTTAGACTAGAAGAAAGGAGATTTAGTCTAAGGCAAAGAAAAGTTTTTTTTTACAATATGAACAATAAGGATGTGGAATTTTCTGCCTGAAGAGGTTGAGTCCATACAAATGTTTAAATAGCAATTGGATAAATACTTGCCAAAACACAATACACGGGTTATAATTTCTAATTAGTGGGGTAATAGCTTCTTGATCTAAGGAGATATCTGTCTGCCATTTTGGGGTCAAGAAGGATTTTTTTCCTAGTTTTTTGCACAATTGGAAGCGATTCAGACTGTATTTTTTAGTCTTCTTTTGGATCAACAGCAAAAACATATGTGAGAAAGGCTGAACTTGATGGACGCATGTCTCTTTTCATCTTTTGTAACTATGTAATATAAAAAAAATAGTATTTCATAAAGATAGAATACTCATTATGACTGACTTGGAATTTCACTGAAATTCCAACCCAGTCAAGAGATATACAAACTGTAGGAACTACTTTGTCTCTGTATTTCTCCTCCGCCTGACACTTCCTGGCACAAGGTGAAGCCTATGTGTCAAGACCTGCAGCCAACAGTAACAGTGCCGCTTTGAAGTCAAAAGCGTGTGCAAGGGGTGTGCAAGTTGCAGACATGACTTAATGAGAAGACAAAATATTTTTATTAATCTCTTAAAAAGGGGGTACAGGCCTCATAAAATCTATGGCTTTGTCCATTAATCTCTTTGCCGCAGACAGGGTGCTCATTGGCTCATTGTACCCCATCAGGTTTACTATGGACTCTCTCAAGTATCTGGGTATTAACATAACAGCTAACTTCAAAGCACTTTATGAAAGGAAATTGTAGGGGAATGGGCTTTGCCACATCACCTCTATTTGTACTAGGGGCTGTCCATACCCTTTTTTTTTTTTAATTCTTTATTTTTGCTTGTGCATAAAATTACAGTGAATCTTGCATTGCCACAACAGCGAATGCAAGGGTTGCATTATGATTAATGATACATGTTGAGTAGCATTGAAAACATTAGACAGTACTTTGCATCATTCGAGGGGTTAGCACAGATTTTTATATTTAAGGTATTGTAGCTTGTTAAGCAGTCGAACATAACATAGTAACTATGAGTAAACCAAGCAGTCATTTTGAATATAGGTGACCTGAGTGGATTAAAATAATTTGCCTGAAAAACATAAACATAGTATCGTAGGTAAATTAGTATCCCTGGTGGTTGGTACCACAGTGAGCATCAGCCGTACAGGTACAGTAAGTAAGACTTTGTTTGCCTGTGTGTGGTCTGCGTGGGATCATTGAGGTTAAAGGGTGTACGTTATGATGTCCTCTTTTTGTTTAAGACTAGCAGTAAGTGCAAGGCGGATCTCATTGTATACTTGGAGGTGCAATACACTATGTTGGTGACCTAATATGTCATGCTTGACTGAATCATAAAGCAGCTATAAATTGTAAACTGGAACAGTGGCATGAGAAATCACACAGTTTTATATAGTTTTATCAATCATCAGCTTGGCAAAGTAGATTAGATTATAGTGGGAGGGTGCTCGCTCTACAGTGCTAGGTTAGCTATGTAAAAATATTTGGAAACTGTACATTTGAATTATTGTGTTGAAACTTGCTAGTCACAATTTTTAGTATATAATGAAAAGAGAACACGATAAACCTATATCGCTAAACAACAATGAGATAACAGGCTAAGCTGTAAGTACTCTGAGTACTCTGACTTACAGCATATGAGTGATTGGCCAAGGTGAGTATCCATTATGTAAGCAGGGTTGCAGTTATTGCCTGCAGATCATCCAGTAATTTGCAGCGAGCATCCTGGTATGCTCAATGTGGCAGGTTATCGACAGACGCCGCATCGGCGCATTTCAGGATTTACCAGCATTAAGCAGTGGCCCGATACTTCTCACAATTTTTATAGTTTCGGAGTTTAACTAATCAGTTATTTGGTCAAAGTGAGATTCAGATAAAATAAAATGAAGATGCTCGGTGCCTAACACCGCTAGATCGGCTATGCTAGTATAGGTTGAGTAAGCACGATTTGTAGTGTGGTAATAGCTGGTTATAAGGCCATGTGCAGATACCTTATGTTGTGAGTGTTTAGGCTAAGAGGCATTAGAAGCACAGGCTAGTGACACAATAACAGTACCCAAACATTCTGAGTGCTGTGTGTGACAGTTAGAAGGCAATTATAGCGCAGGTTAAAGCGTGTATAAGGCTGCTGTGCTTTACTGTTGGATTGGTGCTAAAATATCTGGGATCTGCCTAAGCTCCTGTTGACATCTGTCCCAAATGCAAGGGAGAGAGGAGAGAGAGAAAAAAAAAATGGGGGGGGGCGGGGATTACTGCAGGTGGACAAACTTAAGCATGTCAATTAGCGCAACACGGTCCCCTAGGGTCCTCCTGGTAAGAGTCCTGCTCCCAAGGGCTTGCATACATAGTGAAAAAAGGGAGATGAGAGATGAGTCCTCAGGGTCCCGGCTTTTGATATCATCAGCCGATGCCTTGCGGGGTATTGGTGGCGCCCCGGTGTGGTACTCCATTTCTCGGGAATGTTCGATGTAGGTAGGTTGTGGTGTTGCTGAACTTAAATGGAGCCAAAGGGCGCATCCTCTATGTGGTAACTGAGGCGTAGGTAATCGGTGTGGTGCTCCACGGTCTGAATGCAGTACTTTTTGCTGGATCCCAGCTGTGGGTCGGGGAAGTGGGGGCACAGGGTCCCGTTTGGGAGAGTGAATCCTGTGACAGACCCAGGGTTCAAAGAAGTGCCGCTGAGTCTGGTAAGCTGTAGATTTGGTGTGTTTTTTCGCCATGTTGTACCAGGAGCATGCGTGAGGACCGCCTGTCCATACCCTTTTGTTTCTTTATTTTCCTGGGATTGTAACTGTTTGTTACTTGTGCAAACAAGTAACACGCTATTATTTTGTATTGTTTGTCTGGTTGTACGGTAAGAACCCCTTTTCAGCTATTTTCACTATATGGTTCGACAAACAACAAAGTACTGAACAACCAAGCCACCCATGAGAGGAGCGTGGCCACAACTGACCTCCCTAACCTGGTTCACACTCTCTCAATTACAAACACACAAACCAACTTTGTGATCCCCTGGGTGGCCGCCGTTCGTTATGCAAACACGTGGCGGCGGCCATCTTAGAATACAAATAACACCAGCGGTTTTTGATCGTCGAGTGTCTGGAACCCAAATCGGACACTCAACAGCACAAACACAGCAGAGACTTCCATCCTTGTGTAAGTTTGTGTAAACTCGGGGGAACAGAGCTGCACGAACCATGTTTTTATGCACTTTCATGTATTTCAGACTCTCGAACAGAGACTGACCGCACAGCTCAAACACATGGAACTATTTTCGGCTTACACCTCGTGTGCAGTTGGTAAAACTAAGACCTCCATAAAACTGTCGAACCCTTGAACCGATCTGTGTGATTTTTCAGTATGTTGCTCCCCCAGATCGGGGCTATCAGGGGATTGGGGGAGTATGATATGTTTTTGGGGTACTTCTGTAAATGTATGAAAATTTGGATTTTTTTTTAGTTTGGAGATAATTAAGTAATTAACTCAATTATCTCCTAAGCAAAGAGGAGGGATTGTGTGAAATGTATGGGAGTGACTTATTACCTGACTCTGTGTTTATTGGTTGTTTTATGTTTTTACCTGTGCCCAACAAGGTCCACCTGGGTGGTAACCTTTTGGAAAAACCTGCATAAAAGGTAAGCCTGGCCATTAAATATTCAGCGCTGCTCGTATTACTGAGTGTCGTTCAGTTATTGGGAAGGGTGATGGAATATTCATGGATTATATTAAGCTTATGTCTGCCTTCTTCAATCATACTGTTCCTGAGTAGCTGTTGTACTAACTAGCGGAGAAGAAGCCCTGCTATCACTAGCTCTCCGCTACATTGGTTGGCAGCGTTGGGATCCAGAGCTCACAAAGGAACAAGCATCAGAAGTCAGCAGTGCCAGTGGACCATGGATGGAGATCGACTACTCTATTCTGAAACGGTCCACACTAAAAGATCTCCTAGAAGCAAGAGGCATCCCAGCAAGTAACAAGAAAAAGGCTGTACTTGTTACCAAAGTAATGGCTGGATATCGTTTCGGCAAACAAACGGGAACAGTCGGAATTCCAGAGAGAGCTACAATTTCTGCTATCATTTTATGGTGAAAATCCACCCACAGAGATTATTGCCCGAACCATGACGGATGTGCAGGAATTCGTGCTGCAGCAGAGAGATCAGCAAATACCAGAGGGAACACCAGCAGTAACCACAGTACCAGAGGGTAAGCCCAAAATTTCGTACCAAGCTTTTACAAACTAGGCCGAGGAAGATATTAATGCATTCCTCCAAGATTTTGAAAGACAATGTGCCCTACATAAAATTGATATTGAGGAATGGGTACCCTTATTGGCAAGTAGATTATCTGGAAGGGCAGCTGAAGCGTACCACACTGTTCCAGATGAGGAGATTAGGAACTATGACCGGGTGAAAGAGGTTATATTGGCCCGGTATGCTATCACACCAGAAGCATACCAGAGGCGTTTCAGAGACCTTAACAAAGTGGAGAAGGACTCTCACGCAGAATGGTCCTGCAGGCTGCACAGAGCTGCTCTGGGATGGGTACAGGCACACAAAGCCCGCACACTAGAACATTTACTACAGCTAGTTCTGCTGGAGCAATTTTTCAACGGGCTGTCACCAGACAACCAACAGTGGATCTGAGACCGTAATTTCACTTCACTCACAGGGGCAGTCAAATGGGCTGATGAATATTTGGATGTCCGTCGTCAGCAGAGACCTCCTCAACCACGGACCTTGGTCCGCCACCTCACAGGACCAATAGGTCCAGCAGCCCCACAGAGGCAGTTTAAACCACCTAATGCCCCACAGCAACAGTTCCAGCCATCAAGCTCCATACAGTGCCACAACTGTAAAAAGTGGGGTCCATCACCACCACCGCAAGCAGCCGCTCATTACTACCAGGTGAAAGCACCATCATAGAATGCCTTCCCAGCTCCATTTCAGGGGATGTAACTTTTAGGGAGTTTTATGTATTTTTAAGGTACTTTGGGGGTGTTTGGGAAATGTGTGTTTTTTGTGCCTGGAGATAATTGAGTTTTGTACAGCTCCTGACTCAATTATCTCCCAGGCACAGGGGAAGGATTATCTTGTTTTGTATTGGAGTGTCCTGGACCTGAGAGCCAATGTAATCGTGTGTATGTTTTTACTTTAGTCTACTCTCACGTCCAGGGGGAAGTGCCCCTGTGCCTGCATATAAGGCCAGTTGTGGCTGCCAAAAAACATATTCAAGTTTGTACTCCCAGAACTATGTGTTGTCTGATTACTTGGAGGGGAAAGGGCTACTCTTTAATCACTGTTCCAGTGTGGAGGATTCAACGGGGAAAGTCCTTGTAAGGACTAGAGCTCCCAGGACTGAGTGTTGTCCAGTGCCTGGGGGTGTCTAGAGCTAGTTCCCCATTCGGCTCCAGGAGGGAGCAGTTCCAGGACCCCAGTCAAGCCACGGCAACTGTGGGCAGAAGTGCTTCAGTTTGTCCCCTGTTCCAGCTAGGAAGCGGTCCTTGGCTGAGGTACCCAGCCGGGGGTACAGGTAGCTCTGTTACAGTCTGTATACGTAATTCTTTTTGGAACGACAAAAGGCAGGTTTGCAGTTCCCTATTTGTGATTGTATGCCTCCATATTTCATATTCAATGGTGCTAAAACATGTTTTTGTTATGTGACGTTGACATTATATGCACTGTTATGTGATGGTAATCACATGGAACACTCAAGATGGTATCTCTTTCAGTTTTTTTACATTGTTTATGTTGCAACATTATATGTATTGTCCCATGGCTTTCCAAATAGGGGGCCAGGGGGGAAGACATTAGGTCCCCCCCTATTATAATTTAGGGCCCCCACCCACTGCCCAGGGGTGGGGGCAAGGGGGGGAAGACATTAGGTCACCCCCCAATTTTTATTTAGGGCCCCCACCCACCGCTCAGGGGTGGGGGGCAGGGGAAGGACATTAGGTCCCCCCCTAATTGGTATTTAAGGCCCCCCCACTCCCACTGCTCAGGGGTGGGGGCCAGGGGGAAGTCAATAGGTCCCCCCACCTTATTCTAATTTAGGGCCCCCACCTGCCGCTCAGCGGTGGGGGCCAGGGGGGAGGACAATAGGTCCCCCCCCCTTATTGGTATTAGGTCTGTCCTTCCCCCTAATTTTTATTTAGGGCCCCCACCCACCGCTCAGGGGTGGGGGCCAGGAGGAGAACATTAGGTCCCCCCCCCCAATTTTTATTTAGGGCCCCCACCCACCACTCAGGGATGGGGGCCAGGGGGGAGGACATTAGGTCCCCCCCTTATTCTAATTTAGGGCCCCCACCCACCACTCAGGGGTGGGGGCCAGGGGAGAAGACAATAGGTCCCCCCACCTTATTCTAATTTAGGGCCCCCACCTGCCGCTCAGCGATGGGGGCCAGGGGGGAGGACAATAGGATGAGGGGGTAGGTAGGGGTTAATTATATTTTTTGGGGGGTGACTAAGGCTTTGGGGACCCCTAGTCACCTGGGTGGGGGGTTACATTTTTATTTAGGGCCCCCACCCACTGCTCAGGGGTAGGGGCTAGGGGGAGGACAATAGGTCCCCCCTTATTCTAATTTAGGGCCCCCACCCACCGCTCAGGGGTGGGAGCCAGGGGGGAGGACATTAGGTCCCCCCCCTAATTGTTATTTAGGGCCCCCACCCACTGCTCAGGGATGGGGGCCAGGGGGGGAGGACATTAGGTGTCCCCCCAATTTTTATTTAGGGCCCCCACCCATCGCTCAGGGGTGGGGGCCAGGGGGGAGGACAATAGGCCCCCCCCATTATTTTACTTTAGGGCCCCCACCCGCTGCTCGATGGTAGGACGATAGGTCTTCCCCCTTTTTTTACTTTAGGGCCCCCACCCGCAGCTCAGGGGTGGTGGACGGGGGGGCAATAGGTCCCCCCTTTAGATTAAAAGCCCCCACTCGCACGTCACGAGTGGGGGCTTAGGAGGGGGGCCCCGGTTTAAAAAAAAATGTTTTAACAGTGAGCAGCCACAGGCTGCTCATTGTTTAATAGACATGCCCCTACTAGCTTATATAGAGGCTGGGTCACATGCTACATTGGCCAATCACATATATGCCATTAGTAGGCGTGGCTATGATGGCTTCTAAGGGCACACGAGTCAAACGCTTGTTGATTGGTTGCACTGCAGCTTTTCAAAATGCGCCATTAAATCGCAGAACACTGAACTCGAACCTGAACTGTTACTGAAATGTCCGGGCTCGAGTTCGGGGTCAAAAAATCGTAATGTTCGGTACAAACCCAACTTTACAGTTCGGGTTCGCTCAACTCTAGACATGATGTGTAAATATATTTTCCAGGTCAGAATGCAAAGATTAAAACTAAACAAAATAACATAAAACTAAGGGGTTGGTGTAGCACATAGGTTGTCCTCGGATATTAAGAGCAACAACAAGAAAGAAGGGTGCAGGAATAGTGTAGTACGTTTAAATAAGCTGGTAGATAGTTAGGATCAAAAAAGCGCACTTACCCTGTTTAGGAGCATTAATCCAGCTCCAGTTTAAGCGTCTGGGCAGAATGATCCCCACCTAGGGATAGGAAGTAATGTAGGTTGTGTAGACGATCCTTGTTATATGGTGAATATTCTCTAAAATATACACTGCCTGGACAAAAAAATGTCGCCACCAAAAAAAAAAGGTCACACACTCTAATATTTAATTGGACCGCCTTTAGCTTTGATTACGGCATGCA